TCGTGGCTTGGCCTGATGTCTCACTGGGGGCGGCGGAACGCGAAGGATGAGCTGATGGCGGGCTTCGTTGTTTCCGGCTACTACACCGCGATCACGATGGCACTGTTCACCGACCTCGGCTACTACAAGGCAAACTTCGAGATGGCGGAGCCGATGAGCTGGGGCAGCGGAGCCGGCTGCGCGCTGCTGACCGACAAGTGCGTGACGGACGGTGCCACGCTGTACCCTGATATGTTCTGCACCGACTCGAGCGACGCCACTCTGCGGTGCACGTCTGATCGCCAGTCGCTGGGGACCTGCGCAATTTACCAGGACGATAACATCCCACCGGAGTTCCAGTACTTCGCCACCAAGCAGGGCTCCAGGCGAGGGGCCATGATGGAGTACTGCCCCTTCATTGCGCCAATGAATGGCACAGGGTGCATGGATGGCGACGAGGCCATCATGCCTGGGAGCGTTGTTGGCCCGTCCTCGCGCTGCTTGACTGGGGAGAACCTTCGGATGGGCAGTACGGTTGTTGGTGACGTGTGCGTGCAGTTGAGGTGTGGTGAGGGCACGCTAAGTGTGCGGTACAGGGGCAGCGAGGAGTGGCATCCCTGTGCACCGGGACAGACGCTGACGCCCCCGGCGCCATTCACGGCGGGCAGCATAAGATGCCCCTTGTTCAGCGACGTCTGCCTCACCATGTTGAAGCACAGTGATGCGAGCAGCACCGACGTGGAAAGCCACCCGAAACACCTTGCGATGATCAGAAATAACGATGGCAGCGCTCTGGCGGTCACTTCTGCGCCGCCTCTTCTCCTCCTCTTCATTGTGATCGGCACGGTGATTGTCGCACCCTGACCCGTACCTGTTGCCGACACCGCACCTCCCCTGCTCCATTGGGCCTCTCTTGGAATCCTTTTGCTATAGGAGCCCAGACATTTTCCTTCTTTTTTTTTTTCTATTGTTTCTTTTTTTATTGTTTCTTTTTTTTTTGTTTCTTTTTTTTTGTTTTGTTTCTTTTTTTTTTTTTTTTTTGCTTTGTTTCTTTTTTCTTTTTTGTTTTCTTTTTTTCCTTTTTTTTTTTCATGTTTTTTATTGCTTTGTTTTCTGCCGCGGTGAGCCAAAGTCTTTTCGCCCTCTCCCGGCTACAAGAGTGCCTGTGACTTCTCATTGGCCTCACCGCCCGGCGGAGGACATTATGTAAGGTGTGTGTAGGACGTTTGCTTTGGAAATGACCGGTGCTGAAGTCATGCATCCCCTCTGGCTGTGGTGCATCTGTGTGTTCAGAGGCGTGTTGGCGGAGCGACAGCGCAGGGAACTGACTTCTTCCCCATTTCCCAATATTTTTCTTTTATTATTATTATTATTATTATTACTATTATTATTATTATTATTATTATTATTATTATTATTATTATTATTATTATTATTATTATTATTATTATTATTTTTGCACTGCGACATCCCGTGAAAACGCGCCGAGGGTTTTGAAAGAAGTTTTTTTTTTTCGGTGATGGCGGAGGCACCTGATAATAGGTTTTTCTTTTTTTCTCTTTTGTGGACGGGCACCGAATGAATGTGCGGGTGTTTTACTTCCTTCTTGTTGGGCTCACTGGGGATGTGTCAGCGCTCTGGGGCGGTAGCTGTGTTGTGTTTTTGGAGTGGAGGCGGGTCTTGCCCGATTGCCTGTTTCTTCTTTTTGTTGCCTCTCTTGTTGCTTAGGATGTTTTACTCGGCTGCCCTCTCGCGGGATGGACCGGCCGTTCGTTTTTTCTTGCCCCACTGCCACCACCACCTCTGCGGTGTGAGTGCCGCCTCCGATGCTGACGGCCAGCGAAAACACAGGCGCCGTGCTTGCAACGAACACCTCGCCTGCACCTGTGCTGCCCCAGATCCCACGGCCATTGCGCAGAGGGGAAGGAGTGCTGAGAGTGCGTGAGTGGAGCGTGCTCCGTGGGTGAGGCGGCGGCCGCATATCATCATTTCTGTGCCGTGACTGTCTCAATCGGGCCCGCAAGAGCAGCACCGACGGCGTGAAACGCACAGGGCGGCTGACAACTTCATGATGCGATCAATCGAGGCATTTGTATGACCGTGACGATGAATTACATCTCCGTGCACCCAGCTACCCACAACAGGCACGGGACTGGCTCGCTCCTTCCCTCCACAGCCCTCTCCGCCGCCTTCTCC